CCCTGAGGGGCTGCACACAGCTAGCAAGGAAAGTCAGCCCCTAGGGCTTTGGGAACTAGTGTGGGCTTCATCTAAGAATAGCTGGGAGCCTTAAAGGGCCCCCAAAGGTCCTTAAGCTGAGGACCCCTTAGATTTGCATTGTTTAAAAACAAACGGGGAGGGGGGGGTGTCCAGCTGCCTCCTGCAGAGAGGACGCTGGGAGGTTCCTCCAGTAGTGAGTAACCAGCCTTGGCATGTTCGGAAGTTCTGTGTCCCAGTTTGCTCATCTGTAACAGATTTAGTAATGGTACCTACACTGTAGGCTGTGGGGATTAAATGAGTTGCTATTTGTAACGTGCTTTTCCTGAACAGCTTTAAGTGTTTTTTAAATAGAATGCCTGGTGGCAGAAGGCTAATCACTTCCAGTTCCGTCCTCCCTCCATCTAGCATCAGAATGACCCAAACTCCTCCCGACTGAGCCGGTGGCCGCCAAGTTGTCAAATCAAGCTCAGCCTCCCCCCTCCCCTGCCTGGGCTGGTGTGGGTGCCTACACAGGGATGTGTGGCATGTGACAGACCAGGCCTGCTGGCCGTTTTTTACCGCACACCTGCACTGCCCCCCACACAGGGGTCAGGCCCCCGCCGCCCCTCGCTGAGTGCACCACCTGTGCTTCCTGCTGTGGGAAACGAGGCAAATCCGCCAGTGAACTCCCCCTCAGAGGATGACCTGGCTGCCATTTACCTCTCCTGGCTTTGCCGCCCACACCACACTGCTTGCTCTCACCCAGGCTGCACTTGGTGATTGACAATAACTGAGCAACGGGCTCTCCTGGGCTGCCATCAGCTCCTGTTTGCTTTCCGTCCTCATAAAGGCCGTCTCTGAGCTGGAAGGAGAAAGGACAGTTAGCATGCAGTGGCTTCCACCGGCCTTTCCCATGCTAACGAGGAGCCTCTCAGGAGCTGAGACTTAATAAGTTCATTTTAACGCTCTACATTTCCTGTTTTTCTCCCTCTCCAGTGGATGCATTTTTTGTAAATTACGTTATACATGGAAATTTATATGTGCAGGAAACATTTTAATCATAATATCTTCCACTGAGCAGTAATATTTCAAAGCTACTTTGTTAACTTGCTGTGATCTTTTCTAATTTGAAAACAGTAGACGGGATCTCATTTAGGGACAGCAGTTTCAACCTGTGTTACTCAGTAATGTTGCCTGAGTTCTGTTCTGAGGATATTGAGCAATTCTGAGCTCACGGAGGAAGTATCGCAACCTACATGGGAGGGTGCATGCCAGGTCTGGAGCGAACCTTTCCTCCGGAGACTCCTCCGAATTGTGGGGAGAGGGAGAAGTGGCACAGACGCCTCCTGGTGTTTCTAATGCATGATTACGTTTAATGGGGGGCAACATTTGTCATTTTGATTTACATCATTATGAAAAGGTGAGTCGTTTTTTTTTTATCTAATCATCTGCTGACGGGCACCTAGGCTGTTTCCAAATCCTAGCTATTGTAAATTGTGCTGCTATGAACATAGGGGTGCATATATCCTTTTTGATTGGCGTTTCTAGTTTCTTGGGATATATTCCTAGAAATGGGATTACTGGTCAAATGGGAGTTTCATTTTCAATTTTTTGAGGAAACTCCATACTGTTCTCCACAGTGGCTGCACCAGTCTGCATTCCCACCAGCAGTGCACGAAGGTTCCTTTTTCTCCACATCCTCGCCAACACTTGTTTGTTGATTTGTTGATGATAGCCATTCTGACAGGTGTGAGATGGTACCACATTGATGTTTTGATTTGCATCTCGGATAATTAGTGGTTTGAGCATGTTTTCATGTGCCTTTTGGCCTTCCTTCTGTCTTCTTTTGAAAATATTCTATTTAGGTCCATGACTGTTAACATTTCATTATCTTTTTATTCTCAAGTTGTCAAATCAAGCTCAGCCTCCTTCCTCCCTTGCCTGGGCTGGTGTGGGTGCCTACACAGGGATGTGTGGCATGTGACAGACCAGGCCTGCTGGCCATTTTTTTACCGCACACCTGCACTGCCCCCCACACAGAGGTCAGGCCCCCGCCGCCCCTCGCTGAGTGCACCACCTGTGCTTCCTGCTGTGAGAAACTAGGCAAATCCGCCTATGTGTGGATTATTTTTATATTGATATGATCTTTTCTGTGTATAAAATTTTACATATTCCTTTATTTCTCATGATAATATAAACATTTAAAATGCTGTTATAAATATTTCATACACATTTTAATGGCTTATTCAATGAGCTGCTATGTGAGACACTATAAATTAATCATTCCCTGCTGTTAGACATTACTAATGAGAAATAATACTGTAATGAACATCTTTGAGCATAATCCCATTGTCATATTCAGATTTATTTCTTTAAATGTAAACCAGGTATCTTAAAAGTTCTGAATGCTTTTAAAGCCTTATAAAATAGCCTCAAGTTGCTTTCTGTAAGGCAGGCATCTACCAATCTCTAAGGCATCTTTGTTCAGGTTACCAGCCTCTGGGCACACACAGCCCTGGCAATCCAAGCTGGATGGTGTGCTGTAGACTGGGCTACGCCTGCTCGCTCTCTGGGGTGCCTCAGGGTGGTCCACAGCAGAACTGACATGCGGATGCTCATTTACATGCTTCCCATGGCTCACACATAGTACTTGCTTTAGATTAATGTTAATTAGATATTCATATCTGTAAAAGCTTTAATTTATTAAGTGAAAAAATAAATGTTGGTATGTTGATACTTAAATTTACCCATTTTGATTATGAAGGTGAACATTTACTCATGGGTTTCTTGGGCATTTGTATTTTCTCAAGAATTATCTGTTTACATGCAAAAGAATGAAACTAGATCACCAACTTACACCATACACAAATATAAACTCAAAATGGATATAGGATTTAAACATCAGACGGGAAACCATAAAAATATTAGAAGCATCCACAGGCAGCAAAATCTCAGACATATGCCAAAAGAACTTCTTCACTGATACTACCCCTAGGCCAATGGAAACTAAGGAGAAAATAAACAAATGGGACTACATCAAAATAAAAAGCTTTTTTACAGCAAAAGAAACCATCAACAAAACAACAAGAAAGCCCACGGTGTGGGAGAACATATTTGCAAATGTTACCACTGATAAAGGTTTAATTTCCAACATCTACAGATAGCTTATACAACTAAATAAAAGGAAGATGAATGATCCAATTAAAAAATGGGCAATGGACCTAAATAGAATATTTTCAAAAAAAGACAGAAGGAAGGCCAAAAGGCACATGAAAACATGCTCAAAGTCACTAATTATCCGAGAGATGCAAATCAAAACAACAATGCGGTACCATCTCACACCTGTCAGAATGGCCAACATCAAATCAACAAACGACAAGTGTTGGCGAGGTTGCGGAGAAAAAGGAACTCTCTTGCTCTGCTGGTGGGAATGCAGACTGGTGCAATCACTGTGGTGAACAGTGTGGAGTTTCCTCAAAAAACTGAAAATGGAACTCCCATTTGAACCAGTAATGCCACTCCTAGGAATATATCCCAAGAAACTAGAAACACCAATCAGAAAGGATATATGCACCCTTATGTTCTTAGCAGCACAATCTACAATAGCCAGAATATGGAAACAGCCTAGATGCCCGTCAGCAGATGACTGGATCCAAAAATTATGGTACATCTACACAATGGAATACTATGCTGCCATAAAAAGAAGGAATTCTCAACATTTGCAGCAATCTGGATGGAATTGGAAAACATCATGCTAAGTGAAATAAGCCAATCAATGAAAGAGAAACACCACATGACCTCACTCATTTATGGATAATAAAGAACATTATAAACTGATGGACCAAAAGATAGATATAGAGACTGTAAATCAACAAGCAGACTGTCAAATTACAGCGGGGAGGGGAGGGAGAATTGGGGGAGATAATAGATCAACCGAAGGACTTGTATACATGCATATAAGTACAACCAATGGACATAAAATTCTGGAGAGGGAGGGTATATATGGAAGGGAGGAAGGGGGGCAAAAAAAATCAAGAAGATATATTTTAAAAAATAAATAAAGGCTAACATTTGAGAATGTGTTAAAAGAAAGAATTATCTGTTTATACTCATCTTATACTCAGTGTTCGTCATTTGGTATTTTGCACATTACTTTACATATGATCTGTATTATTTGTAGTCAATATTTTTTCTGGTTTGTACTTATTTTATGAAAAACAAAAGGTTTTATTTTTATTTAGAATAATCAATTATTTGCTTCCTTGATTTTCAGTTTACAAAGTTCTTCCCCATTTATACATGTGAAAAGCACTTATATTTTCTTCTTGTTTATTATTTTATTTCATTTTTACATTGATCTCTTGAATTTATGTTAAATTCAAGTATATTTTGATGAGTAGTATTAGGTAGAAATCTAATTTTTTTTTCCAAATAGTTTTCTCTGCACTATTTTTCACATAATCTTTCCTTTTCCTAGTGATTAATGTGTTTTTTATCATTTGATTGTCATCTATTCTGATAAAAATATTTTGCTGATTTTAAAACCAATAAAGAGTACATTCTTAATGTGGTCAAAGCACTGTTCTTTATGTATTTTTGTTTCACTGTTAACATTTTTAAAAACTGACTTTGAATTTAATAATTTTTATCACTAAGTTATTTCTTTTTTTTATTAACGGTTTTATTGATTTCTGAGAAAAAGGGAGAGAGAGATGGAAACATCAGTGATGAGAGAGAACCATTGATTGGCTGCCTTCTGCATGCCCCCTACTGGGGATCGAGCCCTCAACCCAGGCATATGCCCTCACTGGAAACTGAACTGAGCCACGCTGGCCCGGCTCTTTCTTCTTTATACATTAAATTAAAGTGAACTGAATATGTTCACTTTAATTTAATTTAATATTACTCATTTACAAATGACCCGGACTCTAGGTATTAAACATAAGAAGCACTTGTATTCACATTTCAGAACTTTTTTCTCTTTCTGTTTATGTTTGTAGGGGTTGTTATCTCATATACTTGCAGCATTCAGATTTGATATAAAAGAAGTTGATCTTTTTACTCAAAGTCTTGGCTATGCACCTGCAGATTATTATCCTGGTTTGCTAAAGAAGGTAAGTATTTTTAATTTATTAGTATTAAATTTTTCATTGGTTAATATATCATCAGCAAAAAGAATAAATAGAAGTATTTCACTTCTCCAGAAGAGATGTTTAACTTTTCTATGTTTATCTCTTCTTATGTTGGGCGGACTTACAGCCATGTAAGGAAGAAATGTGAGATGGGAGGTTATGGGAAAGAAGAAGGAAGCCAGGAGAGGTTATTCTAAATCAACCAACTTCTCTGTCTCTTAACACATTTCATTTATCCTCCCAGAGACTTTTAGGAGAAGAAACTGGTTAACCAATGTAAATACAACCTTTTATTATTAGACAAATTTTGTATTTAAAATGGCATGAGAGGAATTTTGTGTTAAAAAAAAATGTAGTTACAACCTTGTAAATACTACTATATTAAAACTATGTATTCTTCTGCCTTAAATTTTAGCTAAATTGAAGAAATTTTCATTTTGATCTTAACATAGCTCTTTTAAAACCTGTTAGGAGATTTTTCAATGTTTAACTATTCTGGTCTTTTGGACGCTTTACACATGAATAAAAAATAAAGACTAATTAAGAAAGAAAAATAAAGTAACTCTAACGCTGTTTTATTTGTAATGGGTTCGGTTTTAATTTTTAGGAAATTAGTGATCTACCGTGTTTCCCCGAAAATAAGACATCCTCCAACAATAAGACCTACTTACAGGTTTTCTTCTGAGTGAAATATAAGGCATCCCCCTGAAAATAAGGCCCCCCCTAGGCTCTGTCTCAGAATGCTATTGCTAAACATGAGAGATTTGGTCCACTGATTCTGAAAGAAATGGAGTCACAAGAAATTCACCAGGAAATTCAGGAATTGATGTTCCAGAAGATGATGACATGATTGTTATTGAATAAATGAGTAAATTCTTGATACTGTAGGATTTAAAGTTTGTCTGGTTTGTATTGTCAACTACCGTAGTACCATACCGTATACAGGTAATAAATTTCCTTTATTTTCATTTAACAATAAATGTGTTCCATATTCTTCTTCATGGAAAAATAAGACATCCCCTGAAAATAAGACCTAGCGCATCTTTGGGAGCAAAAATTAATATAAGACACTGTCTTATTTTCGGGGAAACAGGGTATCTGTTGTTCATTTGCTTAAGTAGGAATTCAGAATAACAGGTATTAAACATAAAATCCAAATTATTAGTAAATAAGTTGGCACTGCCTCTTTTCACTTTGACAAAGTACAAGGAGAGGGCTGATAGAAGAGGGTAGGGAATCTCAACGGAAATACCATTCACACCAGGAAAATAGAACTGATGTCATCCTGTTTGCAGTGCGAGTTAACCTGCAACTGATTTTGTTTTACAGATGGTTTTATCATTAGTGTCTGAACTCAGAGAAAGTCATCTTAATGGATTTAACACTCAGAGGCGGTAGGTGTGGAACTTAACAGCCCTCTTCTCAAGTTTCAAAATGTATGTTTGGCTATGAGAGAAAAAGTTATAATTCTTAGGAAATGCATGTTTATAGTTATAGTTATATCCATTTTGAAAAAATTATTTTAGTTGAATATATGGGAAATTTGTGAACTTTATCAAACTTTCTTTTTTAATCCCTGTTCTCAACTTTCATAAGGCAGTAAATCGTGCAATGTGTCACATGCTCCAATGGAGTCAAAAGCCCTCCATGTACAGTAGGGAACACAGAACAAGTGCTCATCTCTGTGTGTGCATGTCATTTACACACACACACACACACACACACACACACACAACCAGGATGTTTACAAGGCAGCAGATACTTAATGTGCACATATGACTTATATGACTATTTTAAGGAACAATATTCTAACATTTAGACTAAACAAATCAAAGAGTCAAATAAATTAAATAGCAGTTGGTCACGTTATAAAATGTTTCTTCACTATGAGGAAGAATTCAAAGTTGGTTTCACTGGTGAGCATTTTATTTTTAACAAGTCATTCACTAAAAGAATCTAGGGACCAAAGCACATGGTGATTTTTTTGTAAAGCTATTCCAGTGAAAGCTCTGTCAGGTATGGTGTTTGCTCTCAGACTTAGAAATCCTTTGCATCTAACCCTTAAACTATAAAATTCTTAGGCAAAAATATGAGGAAATCTTTATTACATTGGATTTGGCAGTGATTTTTTTGGATATGACATCAAAAGCACAACAGTAAAAAAGCTAGATAAATCGGACTTCATTCAAATTAAGAACTTTTATGAATCATAGGATATTATCAAGAAAGCAAAAAAACAACCAACTGAATGAGTAGAATGGAAATCATGTATCTGAAATCAAACACCCAGAATGTATTAAAAAAATTCCTAAAACTCAATAACAGAAAATTTAATATAAAAAAATGGCCAAGAGACTTGACTAGACATTTCTCCCAGGAATTTGTACAAGTCAATAAACACATGAAAAGTTGCTCAATATCAATAATTATTAGGGAAATGTCTATTGAAATCACAATGGGATACCACATCACACCTACTAGGATAGCTGTAATTTAAAAACCCAAACAAAAATGAAAACTAACAGATCTTGGTGAAAACAAAGCAGATAGAACCTTTGTGCATTGCAGGTGGGAATGAAAAAAGGTACAGCCACTGTGGAAAACAGTTTGGCAATTCCTCAAAAAATTAAATACTGCCTGGCTGACATGGCTTCGTAGTGAGCATTGACCTATGAACTAGGAGGTCACTGTTCGATTCCATGTCAGGGCACTTGCCTGGATGCTCAAGTTGCGGGTTTGAATCCCCAGTGTGGTGCATGCAGGAGGCAGCCAATCAGTGATTCTCTTATCATTGATATCTCTCTCTCTCTCTCTCTCTCTCTCTCTCTCTCTCTCTCTCTCTCTCAAATCAATAAAAATATATACTTTTTAAAAGTTAAATGCAGAATGACCATAAGACCCAATGATTCTACTCCTAAGTACATATTCAAAAGAAATGAAAGCAGGGGATCAGATATCTGTACACCAAGTTCATAGTAACCCAAGTGCCTATCAACAGATGAACAGAGAAACAAAATGTGGTTTACAAATACATTATAATACTATTCAGCCATAAAAAGGAAAAAAATTGTATATGTGCAGGAACATGGATAGACTTTGAAAACATCATGCTTAGTGAACTAAGCCAGACTCAGAAGGACAGATATTGTATGATTCCACTTATATGAGGTACCTAGAATAAGCAAATTAATAGAGATAGAAAGCAGACTATCTGTAATAATAAAAGCTTAATATGCTAATTAGACCAGACATCCTTTCTTCGGACAAAGCTGTGGCGGCCGGGGGCCGAGGCAGAGGTGGCCGGCTAAGGCCCTTGAATTTCATGCATCGGGCCTCTAGTAGGTGATAAGTGACTAGAGGGAGTGAAGTGATTGTTTAAAGGGTACACAGTTTTTGTGAGGGGTAAGGAAAAGCTTTGTGTATAGATTGTGATGATGGGTACACAATTTGCAAATTATTTAATGCCACTGAATGGTTATCACTTTCAAATGGTTACAATAATAACTATTCCGTGTGCTTTATTGCAATAAAAGAAACTTGAAGACAAAAACAAATGTGATGCCAACTATAAACTCCTTCAAATGATTAAAATGTAAGACACATTAGCATGTGTTAGAAAGGGTGTGAAATTACCAGAACTTTCATAAACTGGGAAATGTGCATAATATAAACATTTTTGTAAACAGTGTGGCAATTTAATATAAAGTTAAACATAAACTTACCAAATGACCCACCAATTCCATTTTTGAGTTTTTACTCATGACAAGTGAAAACATAGATATTCACAAATATTTCTGTATAAGTATTCATAACTGTTTTAGTTGTAATAATTCAGAACCAAAATCAATCCAAAGGACCATTGACAAGGGAATGGATTAACAAAAAATTATATGTTACCACCATTGAAAAAAATGAAAAAACAAGTCATAAATAGGAAGTATTATGAAATTGTACATCTGATAAAGGGCTCAAATTCAGCATATATAAAGAATCCAGTAAGAAGACAAATAATCCAGTTTAAAAATTGGCAAAAGATTGGAATACATGTCACCAAAAAATGTATACAAATGGCTTATTTCAAGAACATGAATACTAGTATATAAATGTTTATAGCAGCATTGTTCATAATAGACAAAAAGTGGAAGCAAACCAAATATCCATCAACTTATGATTGGATAAACAAAGTATGGTATGTGCATACAATAGAATATTATTCCTAAGAAAAAGGAACAAGCTACTGATTCATGCTGCAGCATGTGTGAGCCTCAGAAACATGCTTTGTGAAAGAAGTCAATCACAGAAGAACACACATTGTATGATTCCATTTTTTTATAAAATGTCCAGAATATGCATATATATATATATATATATATATATATATATATATATATATATATATATATAAAATTGTTGCCTGTGGCTAGAGGTAAGAACAGGGATTTCCTACAACTGAACACAAAAGATGGAAATGTTCTAAAAGTAGATGATGATGATTGTTGTCCAACTCAATAATTTATTAAAAATCTTCAGATTGTACATTTCAAATATGTGCATTTTGTGGCATATAAAGTATATCTAAAAATATAAGATGAATCCCTAGGGTGCATGGAAAGCATTTACAGTCATTTATTTAAATATTAGGTAAGGACTTTAATTTAGTCTTGTGGTGATGTTGAATAATGGGTCTTTCGAGTAATAAACTTAAAAACATATTAAAGGGGCCGAAACCTGTTTGGCTCAGTGGATAGAGCGTCAGTCTGCGGACTGAAGAGTCCCAGGTTCGATTCCGGTCAAGGGCATGTATATTGGTTGCAGGCACATCCCAGGTAGGGGGTGTGCAGGAGGCAGCTGGTCGATGTGTCTCTCTCATCAATGTTTCTAGTTCTCTATCCCTCTTCCTTCCTCTCTGTGAAAAATCAATAAATATATATTTTTTAATTATACATATATATTTTTTAAAGGGAATTTGAAAAAATCAATAGAAGGCAATTTTTATGTATGACCTATACCAAATCTCAAAATATGATTTTATTTATTTATTAAACCTCACCCAATGATGTGTTTTATTGATTTTTAGAGAGAGAGGGGAAGGGGGGGGGGAGAGAAACACCAATCAGTTGCCTCCCACCTGTACCCCCCTCCAGGGATTGAACCTACAATCTAGATATGTGTCCTGACCAGGAATTGAATCTGCAACCTTTTGGTGTACAGGATAATGCTCCAACCAACTGAGCCACACAGCCAGGATGATTTTTTAAAACTTAGATGAGAATAAACAAAAAAAAAACAAACTAAAATAGACACACACACACACACTCACACTCACACTGAATAAGTGGAAAAGACCAGCCACAGACTTGGAAGATATCTGCAACCTATAAAACAGACAAATATAGAAATGGCTTCTACAAATAAATTATAAAGAGACAAACACTCCAGAATGGAAATGAACAAGAAATATAACATAAGCAGGTTATTACAAATGAGGCAAACTGCATAAAAATAAACATTTAAAAAGTTCTTCAGGAGTGACATCAGAGGATAGCAGAATAAGAAGGACCAGTCCTTACTTCCTCCCCCTCCCCCCCAGCCAGCCCCCTGAGACACTGACTTAACAATAGGGCCTTTAGGAGAACTCCAGAAACTAATTAGAAGTCATAATATCCCAGGCAGGCTCAAAGTCAAGAATAGCCATATTGAAACAGGAAAGAAATCCATTTCATATAAACTACAACAGCCCTTCCCCTAAGCCAGCTCACCTTTGTGTGATTGGGAGGAAAAGTCCAGTTTGTAGCTTCTCCCTTGTAAGGGAAAGAGCAGAGTGGAGTGTGTCCAACATTCTGGCTTTTGTGGGGCTGCCTAAGGGACTAGTGTTTGTCTTGCTGGTGCCAATTGTAGGCATGTATTTCAATCTGTCATTGTCGATTGTGAATTTGGTTGACACTTCTATTATAGAGAAAGGATGAATAGTGATATTAAAATACTCTTCTAATTAATTTCCTTTCAATGTGTACGAATCCATGCACCAGGCCACTAGTGTAATATTAAAAAAGCAGAAACCAATAAAAATAAAGAGATTATTTAAAGAAAAGTAACTCAAATAAATTAATATTGATGTCTCCATGAAAATAAGGGTAGTGTATTCATTAAACAAGAATAAGGTGCTATTTTTAAAAAAAGAAGGAGCACCCATAGGATAAAAAAAGTTTTTGGAAATTAAGAGTGGTGAAGAAAAACATAAATAATAAAAGGACTGGAAAATAAAGTTGAATAATTCTTTCTAAATCTTGTTCAAAAAGACTAAGAAATGAAACATCAAACAGAAAAGATACTGCCCAGGGAGTTCAATATCTAAAAAATTAGAGTTTCCAGAAAGAGGAACAGAGAAAAGAATGGGTAGAAATCATCAAAGAAATAATTCAAGAGAACTTTCCTGATTTAAAGTCCACTGAGTGCCCAGCACAGTGAATAAAATAAGTCCATATCAAGATACCTCATTGTGAAACTTCCAAGAGCATATCCAGAGCCTTGAAGTGGTAAAAACAGGACTTAGAAATATAAGAATTAGAATTCATAATAGCATGGCACTTCTAAAGAACAAAAATGAAGCAAAAGGACAGTAGCACCACACTTTCACACCTCTGTAGAGCAGTTACCAGAAATCTAAACTCAACTGAAGAATCAAATGTGTGAGTAAAATAAATGTATTTTCATAGACACAAGATCTCAAATACTTCTCATATATATTTGCCTATATAAGAAGAATGAACCAAGAAAGAAGATACGGGATCCTGGAGAGACATGAAGGATGAAGATCCCAAGACAATAATTGCACTGTGGGAGTCAAAAACAACCTGTCCATAATGGAACAGGTCAGAATGTTCTAAGAAAAGTTTATTTAAGAAGATGAAAATCAGATATGTCTGAATATATTGCAAGAAGAGTATACATTTGGGTGGAGGTTTGGGGTTAAAATAATCACTGGAAGGAAAAATAAGCAAACAGTCAAATCACAAGTCATTAAACCCAAGAGAAACGGCATTGATATTAAGGAGTGAGTTGGGCCTCCAAGATCAGAAAGTATGTAGCTCTGCAAAAGCTACTGTTTTTCATAAGCTTTGAAAACTGTTTGACTGTATAAAACAGTTGCATCTGTAAGTTTGATAAAAAATTTTAAAAATAAGTCGCCAAAACCGGTTTGGCTCAGTGGTAGAGCGTCGGTCTGTGGACTAAAAGGTCCCAGGTTCGATTCTGGTCAAGGGCATGTACTTTGGTTGTGGGCACATCCCCAGTAGGGGGTGTGCAAGAGGCAGCTTGTCGATGTTTCTCTCTGATCGACGTTTCTAGCTCTCTATCTCTCTCCCTTCCTCCTCTCTGTAAAATATCAATAAAATATATTTAAAAAAATGTTTTTAAAATAAGTTAAAAAGAATATCCAAGGCTCTTCCTGTAGTCTACAAAAGCCTGACTTCTCAGCCCTCCCACCTGCACTGTGGTCTGACAACCTTGGCCTCCTTGCTGTATTCATTGCCTTTACATTTGCTTTGTATCCGCCTGCAACATTTTCCTCTCAGATATGTACTTGGTTTGTTCATATATTTTCTTCAGATTTCTGCTCAAATGTTCCCCTCAGTAAGTCCCTGCCTTCCTTGACCCCTCAGTGTGCTTAACTTTTCACCGTGGCATTTGATAGCATCTGGAATTTTATTCTCTCCACTAGAGGCTGGGTGCACGAAATTCGTGCGCAGGGTAGGGTGTGTCCCTCAGCCCAGCCTGCACCCTCTCCAATCTGGGACCCCTCGAGGGATGTCCAACTGCCCGTTGGAGACCCAAGCCCAATCCAGTTGGACAGTTGGATATCCCTCTCACAGTCTAGGACTGCTGGCTCCCAAGTGCTCGCCTGCCTGCCTTCCTGATTGCCTTCCTGATTGCCCCTAACCACTTCTGCCTGCCAGCCTGATCACCCCTAACCACTCCCCTGCCAGCCTGATTGATGTCTAACTTCTTCCCTGCCAGCCTGTTTGCTCCCAACTTCCCTCCTATGCCAGCCTAGTCACCCCTAACTGCCCTCCCCTGCAAGGTTGATCGCCTCCAACTGCCCTCCCTTGCAGGCCTGGTTCCTCCCAACTTTCCTCCCCTGCTGGCCATCTTGTGGTGGCCATCTTGTGCCCACACGGGGGCAGGATCTTTGACCACACGGGGGCAGCCATCTTGTGTTTTGGAGTGATGGTCAGTCTGCATATCACTATTTTATTAGATAGGATAGAGGCCTGGTGCGTGGATGGGGGCCAGCTGGTTTGCCCTAAAGGGTGTCCCAGATCAGGGTGGGGGTTCCCTTGGGGCATGTGGTGGTTTTCAGGTCAGCCATGCCCCCCAGCAACCTAAGCAGAGGCCCTGGTATCTGGAATTTATTTACCTTCTACAATTAAAACTTTGTAGCCTGGAGTGGGGGCCTAGGCCTGGCCAGGGCAGGTGGAAAATTTGGTTTACTCTGTTGCCGGAGGCATCCCTAGCCTATTCTCTCCAGCTCCATGGCTGCTGCCATTTTTCTTGGGATTTATCTTCTATAATTAAAACTTTGTAACCTTGAGTGGAGGTCTAGGCCCGCCAGGGTATGTGGAAAACTTGGCTTCCTCTATTGCCAGGGAAACCCAATCCTCTCACCTGTTCTCTGTGGCTGCAGCCATCCTGGTTCGGGTTAATTTGCATACTTGCTCTGATTTGGCTGGTGGGGGTAGCAGAGTGATGGTTAATTTGCATATTACTCTTTTATTAGGTAGGATTACTAGGGCTTGTCTTTGCTCTTGTGTCTCTAACACTTGTAAGCATCCTTGAATATAGTAAGTGTATAGCACTAAATACACTAATTTAAAAAGGAATTCACTGAAGAGGAAACACAAGTGAGTAACAAACATTAATAATCTAGAAAGTGCTGAAACCAGTTTGGCTCAGTGGATAGAGCGTCAGCCTGTGGACTGAAGGGTCCCGGGTTCGATTCCGGTCAAGGGCTTGTACCTTGGTTGCGGGCACATCCCCAGTAGGGGGTGTGCAAGAGGCAGCTGATCGATGACTCTCTCTCACCGATGTTTCTAACTCTATCTCTCTCCCTTCCTCTCTGTCAGGAATAAATAAAATATATATTTAGAAAAAAAAATAATCTAGAAAATTATCAGGAAAGAGCACATGAAAGCAATGAAATAATTTTGCCCAGATTAGAAAGAAATAAAAATACTAAAAATAATATCACTGGCAAGAGTGGAAAAGTAAACGTAGTTTTTTGGAATGCAATCTACTACACAAATAATTACATGAGGCACAGGTAGGCACAGCAAGTATGGGGACCCCTGCAGCAGTGTTTATAATAGTGAACAATTAGAAGCAAGCTCAGTGCCTATAAATCAGGATATTGTTAAATTACAGCACTCACATACTCTTTTAATAATAGGCAGCTAGTAAAATGAAGGACAGCTGTAAGTTCTATTGTGATTCCATTTGTGTTTCCAAAATATAAGGTTTGTGATTATTTATTCCTAGAAAAACATCTAATTGCATGTATTTTATTGATCTCTAGTTCTTTTCTTATCTATTTCTTGAGCATGTAGTATGTATATGGAGTTGTCCCTACATGCTAGGAATAGAGCAGTGAGCAAAATAGAAAAATGTGCCTGCCCTTACACACCTGATGTCCTCGCAGGAAGAAACAGACCATGAACACTAAACAATCAGATACATTAGAGTACCCTGAAGATAAGTCAAACGGTGACTGAGATAGGACTGACACAGTGAGCTGGGAGGGCTCTTGCTATGTTAAACTGTTGTCCGGTGGAGCTTTCTGCTCTAAATTTGCACTGTCCAATACTGTAAGCCTTTAGCCTCAGGTAATTGTTGAACACAGAGAAATGGGATTTTAAAGTTTGTTTCATTAAATAAACTTAAATTGCCACATATGCAGATTGCTTCCATATTGGCCAGTGCATTTGTATGGGATGGTCAGGGAAATCCTCACATGAAGCAGCATTGGGGCTCAGACCTGTATGATGTGAAGGAGCTAGCCATGTGTTCCCACAGGACCTTATCTGGTGTGGGTGGAGGCCTGTACGGAGCAGAGCAGGTAAGGGTAAGAGTGGGAGGAAATGAAGCCAGAGAAACAGAGCTTTTGTGGCTGGAATGAAACTGCTTATTCTTTCTGTGCGTTGGGATGCCATTGCAAACCTTTGAGCAGGCAAGGGAAGTGATCTGCATGTTTAAAGATCTGCTGGAACTGTTCTGATGATAAACCGTGGGGGATAAGGCAGAAGCAGGAGAAAGTTGGGAGGCTCCAACTGTAACACAGACTGGGAGTGATAGTGAATGAGGGGGTAGTGATGGAAGTGATGGAAGAGACAGTATTTACTGCTGGGTCAGATAAGGGGCATAGAGAAAGGGAGCTATCAAGAATGGACTTCAAGGGTTTGGGCTTGACCAAAGGAGACAGGAAGCACAGGGTAAGAGAACATTTGGGGAAGGAATTCAAGAGTTCTGTCTTGGGCAGGGTAATTGGAGATGAATATGTGGGTCCTAGAGCACATTGTCTGAAACATTGCTGAAGGTATAAATGACAGAACTGAAGCTGTCCTACTTTGGGTACATCACAAAAAGGCAGGGTTCTTTGGAAAAGATGATAATGCTGGGGAAGACAGCAGGAAAAGAGGAAGGCCAAATACAAGATGGACTGATTCCATGAAAGAAGGTATGCGTCTACAGGAGCTGAGCAAGATTTTTGAGGAGAGGGCATTGTGGACAGTACTCAGGGTTTCCAGGAGTCAGAGCCAACTCAATAGCATTAAAATGTAAGTTGGAGCCCAGCCAGTGTGGCTCAGGGGTTGAGCATCAATCTGTTTACCAGGAGGTCACGGTTTGGTTTGATTCCCAGTCAGGGTGCACACAGGTTGCAGGCTTGATTCCCTGTGGCAGGAGGCAGCCAATCAATGATTCTCATATTGATATTTCTATCTCACTCTCCCTTCCTCTCTGAAAACAATTTTTTTTAAAAAGTATATTTTTAGAAGATAAAAAAAAAAAACCCCAAGTTAGAGATGCCCTTAGTGAGTTATGCCAAAGTCTTGGAAATAAGTGATGTTAAAATGATAACTGCTGGCGGGGTTTCTTTCTAGAGAAGTGAGTACATAAGAGCGTTCACAGATGGGTTAGGATAGTCCTCCTTATGGCGGGGCAGAGCAGTAACCTGTCATCAGCCTATTCAGCAGGAAGATGTTACATGTCTTTAATTACAAGTGGCTCTAAGACTGGCTAATTATTTCTTATTTTATTTACTTTGTAGAATGGCACCTGAACGAGTAAGGTCCCTATCACAAGTTTGTATCCCACTTATTACCCTGCCTGATTTTGGACCACTGGTGGAAGCTCTGCTCACCTACCATGGCCATGAACCTCAGGAAACGCTATGGCCTGCGTTCTTCGATGCTGTGAATGAGGCCTTTTTGCAGTAAGTAATGTCTGTTTATCCTCCCACCCAACTTTGTTTTTCCTTAAATTCTGCAGTATGTTGGAAATGCAGTTTTCAGTGTTTAGGTCTCTTTATGTTCTTAAAATTATTAGGATCCCAGTGAGCTTTGTTAACATGTGGGCTATATCTATCAATATTTATATCATATTTGAAATTAAAAGAAAACTTAAAAATATTTTATTTAAAAATAACAAAAAATTGATTACATGTTAATACAAATAGCATATTTTTATTAAAAACAATGACCTTTTTGCTTAGCATAATACTCTCCAGGAGCAAACTAAGCCAGCCAGAGAAAGATAAATGTCACACGATCTCACTTATATGTGGAATCTAATGAAGAAAATAAACTGATAAACAAAACAGATCCAGAGACATTGAAACAGGCAACAGACTGACATATTTCCAAAGAGGGGTGGGATGGGAAGAGATTAAACAAAGAACTTTTATGCATATATGCAAAGCCCATGGACAAACAGTGCAGGGAAGGCCTGAGAGGGAGTGCAGTGGGGTGGAGAAGGTCAAAGGAGGGAGAAAAGAGGACATTTGTAATACTTCTATAACAATAAAAGCATAGTATGCAAATTGACCCATTGGCCTAACAGCGGAATGTCTGACTGGACGACCTTCCGGAGGTAGCTGGGGCTGTGAGGGCTGCGGCAGTCAGGGCTGCGGAGGCCTACTCTTGCACAAACTTTGTGCATCGGGCCTCTAGTTCAGTAACAAAGTTAAAAAACAACATGACCTTCCCCAAGCAAAACATTGTTTAACAAGAGTGGCATTGTTTACATTTTTGTACATCTCTTTTATTGTCTAACTTAAAGAAGACAGCTGGGTTCTCATGTATCTTTCATATTCTGTCTGGTGTGATATGTTGTCTTGGAAATATATGAAGAAAATCTAGCCTTACACACACATATAGTTGGAAAAGACGGGAGTATTTAATAGATATCTCAGAACACTGGATATTCTCCGTGCAAACCTCACCAAAATTGGAAAATGGTATTATTGTTTTTAAGTTAGTTGTAATGTAGAGTATAAAATTATATCAGTGAGCTTTTTATACTGATACATTAAAAACCTACTGGTGTCTTGCACTGTTAGTGGGTCTTTAGTCCAAGCAAGACATTGTAGCTCTGTTCATGGTTCATTGGAAAAATACTGGTTCATTGTTATGCAGTATCCCAAACATTGACATGTTTTGATGTACAGTATCAAAACTTAACATTAATTAATTGCACCACTAGTCTCATCAGGAATGACTTTAAGTATCGGGAAGCTGTGAAGCTCATGTTGACAAAAATAAATTTTTTAATTTCTTTTTCATTGTTGACAGTATTCCCCCATGTCCCCCTTCCTTTGCACCCCTCCATTCAGCTCCTCCATCACCCCAGGCCTTCCCCACACTATTGTCTATGTCCATGGCAGTGCATATAAGTTCTTTGGTTAATTTCCTCAAATTTATCATTGGCTACAAAAACTGAAGTTATTGTACTTGAAGTACTTAGTGTTCATTAATTTTTGAGAAAGATGTGCAAATACTCAAGTCTAAACAACCATTGTCTGTCTGCCAGCTATTCTTGGAAATTTCCATTTAAAAAGGCTAGTCGATCTGGCAGCTCAAACACTTGTGCAAATGCTCTTCCCTTAGCAACCACCATTTTTTGTTATGTAACCAAAGTGCTTTATGCATACTTTTTTTTATTATTATTATTGCAAAAGGACTACCACCTTTATGTCACATAAGTACTATTTCTTTGCGGTGAGAACATCTAAGTTCTACTCTCTTAGTGACTTTCAAGTGTTAGTACAGTATCGTTACCTGTAACCACCATGCTGTACTAGTATATTGGGTCCCCAGAACGTACTCATCTTATACATGGAAGTTTGTATATGCTTTGGCCAACTCCTCCCCATTCCCCCTGCCCCCAGTCCCTGATAATCATCATTCTAGTCTATTTCTATGAGTTCAGATTCTTTAGATTCCACATAGTGATATCAAATGGTATTTGTGTTTCTCTGTCTGCCTTAATGCCTTCATAGGTCTATCCATATTGCCACAAATGAGGATTTCCTTTCTTGAGGCTGAATAATATTTTATTGTGTATACATATACATGTATATAACATAGGTACCACCTCTTTTTTTATTCATTCATCCATTGATGGATACTTGTTTCTATATCTTGACTATTGTGAAAAATGCTGCAATAAATGTGGGAGTTTAGGTACCTTTTTGATATCCTGTTTTCATTTCCCTATTGTATATGTATATTATATGCCCAGAAGTGTGATTTTTGGTTCATATGGTAGTTCTATTAAAAATTTTTAAAATATATTTTTATTGATTTTAGAGAGGAGAGGAGAGAGAGAGAGAGAAACTTCAATGATAAGAGAGAATCATTGAGTGATGGGCTGCTACCTGCACTCCCCAGTGGGGATTGAGCTCACAACCTAGGCACGTGCCCTGACTGGGAATCAAACTGTGACCTCCTCGTTCATAGGTTGATGCCCAAACACTGAGCCATGCAGACTGGGCTATTTTTAATTTTTGAGGCGCCTCCATACTGTTTTCCATAGCAGCTGCACCAGTTTGCTTTCCCAGTAACTGTGCAAAGGATTTGTTTTTCTCCATATTCTCACCATTGTTAGCATTTATTATTTCTTGTCTTTTTTATGATAGTCATCCAATAGTCATCAAATAGAAGTGAGATGATATCTCATTGTAGTTTGATTTGCATTCCCCAGATGATAAGTTATGCTTAGCACTTTTCATGTACCTGTTGGGCATTTATTTGCATGTCTTTTTGTAGAAAGGTCTATTCAGTTACTTTGCCCATTTTTAATCAGATAGTTTATTTGTTTTCTATTGAGTTATATGAATTCTCTATGTATTTGGATATTAAATTGTTATCAGATATATGGTTTAGATATTTTCTCTCATTCCTTGGGTTGCCTTTTATAGAAGCTTTTTACTCTGCATACATTTTTAGTTTGATGTAGTTCCACTTGTTTATTTTGGCTTTTGTTGCCTTTGTTTTTGGTATCAAATCAAAAAAATCATTGCCAAGACCAATGTTAAGGAGCTTATCCTCTATATTTTCTTCTAGGAGTTTTATGGTTTCGGGTCTTATATTCTCTTCTTTAATCCATTTTTAGTTGATTATACGTATGGTATGAGGTATGGGGTCCAGTTTTTTTCTTTTGCATGTGGCTATTCAGTTTTCCCAATACCATTTATTGTAGCAACGTCTTTTTTTTTTGTAGAGTGGATGTGAGAGGGAGAAAGGAGAGAGAGAGAGAAATATCGATCAGCTGCCTCTGGCATGCTGCCTATCAGGGATCAAGCCTGCAACCCAGGCATGTGCCCTGACTGGATTAAACCAGCGATCTCTTGGTGCACGGGTCAACGCTCAACCACTGAACTACACCAGCCGGGCGCAACTATCTTTTTCCTATTACATACTCTAGGGTCTCTCTCTTTTTTTATTTTTAATTTAATTAACCATTTACATGTGGGTTTATTTCTGGACTCTCTGTTCTGTTCCATTAATGTATGTGTTGTAAAGCCAGTGCCATAAGGTTTGATTATTATAGCTTTTTTAGCACTCTTTTAAAAAAGTATTTTTTTATTGACTTCTGAGAGGGAGAGGGAGAGAGAGATAGAAACATCAGTGAGAAAGAATCATCAATTGGCTGCCTCCTGCATGCTTCATACCAGTGATCAAACCATGACCTCCTGGTTTATAGGTCAACACTCAACCACTGAGCCATTCCAGTTGGGCTCTTTAATAGAGTTTGAAATCAGGAAGTATCTGCCTCCAGCTTTGTTTTTCTTTCTCTTCTGTGGTTCCATACAAATTTTAGGGGTTTTTTGTGTGTGAAAAATTGAGTTAGAATTTTGATTGGGATTGCCTTGAGTCTGTAGATTGCTTTGAGGGTATGGATATTTTAACAACATTAATTTTTCCAATCCATGAGCATGGAATGTCTTTCCATTTATTTGTGTCTTCATCAATTTCTTTCATCAGTGTCATAGTTTTCAGTGGCCAGATTGTTCACCTCCTAGATATTTTATTCTTTTTTATGAAATTGCAAATGGAGAAATATTTTCTTTATTTGTTCAGGCAGTTTATTGTTAATGTATAGAAATAATTTTTTTGTCTTGATTTTATATACTACAACTTTAATGAACTTGTTTATTAGTTATAACAGTTTTTAATGGATTCCTTAGGATTTTGTATAATATTCTGTCACCCAGAAATAGAGTTACTTCTCCCTTTGAGAACTGAATGCGCGCTCTCTCTCTCTCTCTCTCTCTCTCTCTCTCTCTCTCTCTCTCTCTCTCTCTCTCTCTCTCTCTCTCTCTTTCTTTCTAATATCTCCAGCCAGGTCTTCCAGTACTGTGATGAATGAAAGTACTGAGAGTAAGCTTCTATCTTGTTCTTGACCTTTGAGGAAAAGCTTTCAGTTTTTCATCATTGAGTATGATGTCAGCTGTCAGATATGGCCTTTATTATATTGAAGTACATTTCCTCTAGACCCACTTTGTTGAGAGTTTTTATCATGAATGAACGTTGAATTTTGTTCAGTGTTTTTTGCTGCATCTTTTGAAATAATATGACCTTTTTATACTTAATTTTGTTAATGTGTATCACATTGATTCATTTGCAAATGTTGAACCATCCTTGTATGCTAGGAATAAATCCTTCTTGGTCCTTAAATTAGGTTCCTCGACCGTGTGTGTGTGTGTGTGTGTGTGTGTGTGTGTGTGTGTGTGTGTGTAGGCTTCCTCACAACAATAAGCAATTTTCAGACACTAACAAGGTCTCCAATAATTCAGCTCAATTTTGACACCATACACCTGGAGATTACATCAAATTCCACAGGTAAATGGCTCAATCTTATAAGAGTTCCCTCTACTTCAGATGCTCATTACAAACCCAGGTTGTTATTTGTACTTCTGACCAACCAGCTATA